TTTAACTTTTATTTCAAAATTGGAAGGTATTTGTTATAATTAGACTATTATGACATTTGGTATTTACCTATCTACTTATGTTTACTAATCAGTTGTATATCTCCATATAATTATTTGCTTCTGTTTATAGTTTGAAGACTATCCCTAAAATTTATTGTAAATTTAAGCCTCTTGAGGTTTTATTTATTTGTGAAATTTTTCTCTTTAATTTTTGTAGAATACTGAACATAATATTCTTGTCTGTCAGCTACATTAAATAACTTATGATGACTGGCAACTGTTCTACTGAGAAAACAAAATCAATTGTAGACAATGAAAGTGCTTCAAAGAAGAGTTTATGGCACAAAATGGCTACATCAAAATATTTGAGATATCTCAAATTAATAAACCAATGATATACCAAAAGTGTGTGAAAAACAAGAACAACATCCCCCAAAACACAAATGGGAAAAGATTATCAAAATCAAGGTTGAAATTAGTGAACCATAGATGGAACAAATACAAATACATAGCAAAACAAAATCAGTGAAATAAAGAGCTGGTTCTTTAAAATTTTTAACAAAATGACAAATATTTACCAAAATTAGCTAATGAAATATAGGCCCAAATTATTAAGATGAGAAATTATTTAATAGATTACTAAATTAAAATGCTCTGGACCACATGAATTCAGCATAGAAATCTACCAGACATTTGAAGAAGAAATAACGTCCATATTCTTCAAATTATTCTGTAAAATGAAAAAGGAGCAAGGACTTCTAAATTCTGTCCATGAAGCAGAAATATCCTGATACCAGAAGCAGATAAATACCCAACCATGAAAGGGATCTATAGACCACTATCCCTGATGAACATAGATGCTAGCATGGTAGGGCATTTTAGTGGAGGGAGTATGAAGATGGGAAATTAACATTTGCAGTATTTGAAAAAAGGCACATGGAAACTCACTACTGTAGGATCTTCATAACACACATGCCTATGTATAGAATTTCAATGGTTTTATCCTATGCTGGGGCAGGGGGCCACTCCTCTTCATTGCTGGGTCTGGGTTCCTATATTTCTGATTCATTTGTAGACACTTTTACTCGTCGTCTTTATGAGTTTTTTGGTAATAATTGTCTTGAGCTACTTGTCAGTTGGCTCATAAATCTTCATTTCTTGAGAATTGGATTCTGTCTTTTTGATTGCTGTGCATTTCCCTCTCGTGTGTGCTGTGTAGGATGATTCTGCACGTTTGAATGCCACCTCACTTTACAGGCTTGATTTATTTGGACAAAGACGTAACTTATTCATGGAGCACGGACTGTAGGGAGCACTCTGACTTTTTTGTGAGTGTGTCTTGCTTGAACTTGTACATGTAATTGTTCACTTGAAGGATTTCAGTTTTAGCAATTTGCTTGAGATGCTCCTCATATCGTTCTCCTTCTAGCATCTGTCTGTGGCAATGCATACCACTGGAGCTCTCTCAAATGACCTCTCTCTTCTGCTCTTAGTTGTCTCTAGTTGTCCAGAGGACAGTCTGATCTACCAGTGGCATTTTCTGTCTGTAATATGCATTGGGCATCAAGAAAACTACTCCTATTATGGAACCCTTCCCCAAAGGCAAGAGTTGGATCCTTCTCCAGATACTTTCATCCCCATATAGAAGCAGCCATCCTCAGTTGCCTTTCTGGTGTTCAGAAAACTCTTAACATCTTTTCTGTGTTTCTCTTGGAAGACATAGGTCCATGTATGTTGAACTTTTGACTCCATTTGTTAAAAGTACTCAAGGTCCTACATCCATTTTGCTGACAATATTTCATATCGGTTCAGTACTCTTCAAGCTCTAAAGAATGTCATTGTGCACTCACAAGCCTGCATTTATCCTTTTGTTAAACAGCACTTTACTTACACATTCTACCTTTGCCAGAAAATATGAGTTGACAAGATAATATGCCTGGTTATTACTTCATAAATTTTAAATTCAATTAAACATGTAATAAATTATAAGTTTTATTTGTGCCATTTCTATATTAATTGATTGCATTTGAAAACACAGTTATTTGCTTAGTCCATACAAGAATTCTCCAAAAGACAAATAACTATAAAATACCTGATTTCTCTGATTTGAAGGTATCAAACCTGCCCTAGCATCAAGGACCACTCAAGCAGGAAAATAAGAGGACACTGATAGCAAGCAGAGATGCAGGTTATTGGTAGAAAAGCCTCTTTCTATGGAGTTCTCTAGCTATTTATGCTATTATCCTTCATACACAAATTTCATGGTGACCTTTTAAAGACAAAAATAGTTCTCTGTCCCCTTTTCTGTCTTTCTTCTTTCTTCTTCTGTCACACTTTCATGTTTAGCTGCTTCTGAACATCTTTTGAATCTCAAAAGAAATCACCAGGCACCATAGCCTACAGCACAGGCTGGAGGAGGTTGAGGTAGCCATAAGGAATAGGACATTTCCCCAAAGGCTGTGAATGTGTACAGTGTTAGCAGTTATGAAACTGGCTATATACAGCATCAGGAGGATTATAAAGAAGGTAGCATGACTTTGGCCTAAAAACAAAAATCATTTAAAATTCCCTGATCATCTTGAAAGAATTAAACTTATATTTTAAATAACCATGTAAAGTAAGAACAATGGCATCATTTCACATTCTTTTTGAGATTCACATACTTTACCACAGAAGTATTGCATCTCATTATCTCTTCTCACCATCTTCTCTTCTTTTGTTTTTCTGACCTCATGCTGTTCAAACTTTACATTTAAATTTCCCCCATGACTGGAGAAGTCCTTAGCCATACTGGATTATGATCATGTGGTTTTGAACACTCAAAAGCATGCTTGCCCATAGAAAATTCAATTTCTTGTGAAAGTGTCTTTCATTTAGAGCAGTAACAGTGTAAAAACAATATGTAATTCTGTCTCGGTCAAGGTTACTATCGCTGTGATGAATTACCATGATCAAAGCAATTTGGGGAGGAAAGGGACTACTTGACTTATCTACCCCTTCATTATTTATCACTGAAGGGAGTCAGGACAGAAAAATCAAACACAGGAACCTGGAGATAGGAGCTAATGCAGAGGCCATTGAGAGTGTTGCTTACTAGTTACTAGCTTAGTATCTTTGGCTTGTTCAGCGTGGTTTCTTATAACACCTAGGCCCAAGATCCTAGGGAATCAACACCCACAGTGAGGTAGACACGCATCCATCAATCTCCAATTAAGAAAATATTTTACAGGCTTACCTACAGCCTGGTCCTACGGAGTCATTTTCTCAATTGAGGCTTCTTTCTCTCTGATGACTCTAGCTTTTGTGAAATTAACCCCAAACTAGCCAACACTAATGACAATATTTTAAATTTATTTTTAAAAAATTGGTCAGAGAAATGTTTTAGATATAGCAAACTTAGCCAACCTAGGCTTCTAAAATTTTTAAAAAGCAGATCAACATCATCAATATTTTGTTCATCTAGACCATGGTTAATAGTTATATTTAATTCATTTTCCTCAACTGAAAATTCATTTGACATTAAGGATATAATTTTCTTAGGTAAAGGAAGAGATCAGAAATATATCCACTACTATGTTAATAATATTTATTTTTGCATTATAGAATTCATGGCAATTGAATTTTCCATTAGCTTCTGCTTTACAGAACTAATCTCTCTAAAGTGAAATTTTATCGCTTTTTAAGAAACATAAAAATATAAGAATAAACACACACACACAAAGAGAGAGAGAGAGAGAGACAGAGTCAGAGACAGACAGGCATAGACACACACACACACAGACAACAAGTATGTCATGTGTTGTTTCTAAGCATGTATATTCATATATCAAGTTCATACTAGACTACCATTGTTCAAATTGAATACAAAATAAATTATTCTGTTGAACAACTACTTACTGGCTCTCTGTGTTCCAGTGTGTTATGGATTTTGCACTGGTCAAAGCAGGCAAAATATTATTTCATCTGTGTACCATGCAAAATTTGGACGCATGGAAAGCATTGCTACATTTAGTAAGAAAATAAAGCCATATTGGAAAAAATATGCCATAGAAGGGACTGAACAGACAGTAGTTGCAGTGAGATATTCTCCAGGGGTAATGGTCATTCAGGGCTTTTCACTGGTGTTTAAATGTATTCAGGGTGAGGGCGAGGGCAAGGGAAAGGGAGAAAATCATGTATATATTTATAGAGAGCGACAGTGTGGCTAATTTATATTGAGCAAAAGTGGGACAAGATGATTCACAGAAGTAGCCAGAATCCAGATTCTCAAAGATATGGAATGCCATTTTTAGCTTTTGAGAGATAAGTGGAAACAATGGACTGTAGAAAATAGCCTGTCTCTGTACAAGAATAGGATAGCACTACTAGGAGGTGGCAGCTATTATAAGGAGTGAAAGTAACCTATCTCGACAGTGAGACTGAGGAGAAAACCAGGGGGTGAACCACGAGATAAGGGTAGATGCTTTTAGTAAAGAATATCCCTGCCTTAAAGATCCTAAGTACCTCTCTAGCTTAAAACACTTCAAATCAGATTGCTATTTTGATATTCCAAGGCTTGTGGGTCTGTCTGGGATGTCACTTAAAAGCACAAAGTGTCTTTGGAGCCAGATGGAAGAATCCAGCCATTTCAGTGTGCACATATTTGTATATCTGAAATCATTATTTTAAAAGTTTTCTGGAAATTTTGGGGATTGAATCCAGGGCTTTGTACAAGTTAGGAAAGTACTCTGCCACTTAGCTAAATACACTGTCTATAACCAGTTTTTCAATATTTATGTTTAACATTCCTTTTCTCATGTCTTGCCTATGAATCACTATCATTGACGATTTTTTGAGATAACTGTAAATGCTGAGGTGAACCTGACTCATTGTTTCTCATTTGATAATTTGGCTATACTGAAATGATACTTATATAAAGGCTGTGTTTATATTATTGACAGGGTGTAATGATCTATTGCAATAGTCTGACATAAACTTTTATCATTATTGACTTTCTTCAGAGAAACAGAACATGATAACACGGTCAAATGTTTCCAAGAATGAAGATTTTAGTGTGGACAGCGTGGGATGACGCCTAATTACCGACTTCATTGTTCTCAAATGATGCTTTTTGACAAGTACAGGAGAGCCACCAAGTGACAAAATAAACTTTGAAGTTCAATGCAGCATGAGGTCTTCCATGTAAGGCATGCAACGGTTTTTCATTTTATTCTCACAAATATCTTTAAGGTAATTGCTATTTTGGATACAGGATGTTGTGAAAAATGATACCCCGCTTCTTCACTGCCTCTTCAGAAGAAAGCAGCATACTTGAGTGGCTATTTACAAAGCAGAAAGCAAAGTGACTTACATTCTTGTTTGCATTTCCCATGAGAAAAAAATTACTAAGAGCTTGGCTGGCTTTTTTTAGCACCTGCTTTTTGCCCCAATGGTGATTAGTATAGGAATTGATGTATGTAATCTTCATTCAGATTGTGTGTACATATGGTTCAGAGCTGGAGACTGATAATCTGGAATGCAAATCAAAGCAAATGATTTGGTCTCTGCAGAAGCAATCTGCATAAAGTCATAGGAATAGCAAGTCTGTAACATAGTTCAGTTTCTCACCTTCTGTCTGGATATATGTATTGAAATTGCTATACATTTCAGAATTTCTTGTACATAGGCTAATGAATGGTGGTTTAATTTATGCTTTTATTGAATAACACCTTCAATTAAATGATTGTAAAATATAGGGTTGTTATAATAAATTCTTTGAATTATATTATATTTTCATCTGTTGCCCTTCCCTCTCTTTCCTTCAAATTTTCCCATAAGTCTCTCCACTTGCTCCTTCAAATTGAAGGCCTCTTCTCCTGTAGTTGTCATATAGTTATACATACACTATAGATAACAGTATTCATGTGTATAGGAATATATATATATATATAATAATATATTTAGGAATATATAATATAATAATAGACTTAGGAAAACATATGCATGTATATATTCCTATTATTTTACTATATATGTATATATATATTATACATATATACACATGTACAAGTGTGTAATAAATACATATTATATATTCCTAAGTGCATTAATACTTCTGATTAGTTTGTATAATGTTACCTATTTGTAAAGGCTGATAATTTACTATTGGAAAACCGGTATTGGGCTCTTCTCTATGGAAGACAATTTCTCCCTCGCTCTCTGCATTCCACAGTTGTCCCATTTTTGTCTGGGGTTGAGGCACCACTTTCCTTCTTACTATGTCTTTTGGTATCATCGTTGATCATATATTTCTTAAGCAGCCATGTTGATGAGATTTCATGAGTGTAGCCTCTCTGACATTTTTAGGAGACACAGTCTCACAGCAAACTCTCTGTTCCTTTTACTCCTATTCATAATGTAAAACACATTTACCAAGGGGATGCAAGGTACTTATCGGCAAATAATCAGTATCAGTGAATGAGGAGATGCTCTCTCTTGCCCAATATGATTTATTTCTATGTCTATCATTGGATTCCTTCCACAGCAACCATCATTGACTCTATCTCAAACATGATGCAGACCCAATTGAAAGTTTCAGGATAATTCACTTTGAGTTACATAGTAGTCCTGTATGATTCAATCTGAATGAATTGCTTAGCATTATTTTCTCTCGACAGATGGCATCAAGTGTCCAAATATCTAAACATAAATTAACAAAATATTCAACAAAATGGATGCTTTCTGATATCTCATTTTTTTGAAGAGAATATTGCTGATCAGATTATGAGGTAATAAATTTACCTTATAGATATAGGCATATTAGCTAATTGAGCAACTAAAGGTCTTGGTGGAATTCATTCCATACCTGTCAATTTAGACATGGTTGACAAATCACGATTGTCCAAAGCAAAGTATGAGTGCCACATTCTCATATAATTCATATTCTTTTTTATAACATTGAGACATTTTCTGGTTATTATATGATGCAAATTAATAAAAATGGCTTGTGTGCACTTCATGCCAGCAAAAATGAGTCAGGTGTGTTTTGCAGCATTCATGTTTCCTTCTTACTCATTAAAGAAAAATTAATGAGCGATACCTAGAAATGGGAATTGTAACTACTTTTATCAGTCACTTTTCCTAGTCATTATTTTTAAACTGATAGTACTGAAAATGAACTCACAGAGATTGGAGCAGCAAGCACAGAGCCTGCTTTGGTCTGCACTGTGTCCTCTCCATATGCTGTAGAGCTTCCAGTTCAGTAGTTTTATGGGTTCCTAAGTGTTTGAATAAGTGGCCCTCTGAGTCCTGTGTTGGATCTTGGGTTTATTTCCTTATGTTATTTTGTGTTATCCAACTTTGATGTCATTGTTTTTGTTTTATCTTATATTTTATTTGTCAGTTTGCTGTTATCACATAGAAGCTAGTTTTTCTCTAATGAGAGAAATAAAGGGAGTGGATCCATATGGGGGGGGTCGAAGAACTTGGAGGAATAGATGGAGGGAGAACTGTAATCAAGATGCATTGTATGAGAAAATAATCTATTTTAAAGAAAAGATGACGTGGTTCCTCCAGGTGTCATACAGGGAAGCAAACCATCAAAGAGGCAAGAATGAAAATCTGGTGCAGGACCTTACCCAACTAAGAAACTAGGCAGTAGTGGAGAGGCTGCCCTTCCCCTCTAGTGAGATTGATGACTACCTTGATTGTCATTCCTAGAGCCTTCATCCAGTAGCTGATCCAAGTGGAAGCAGAGATCTATAACTAAACACTGAGTCATACTCTTGGAATCCAGTTGTAGACAGGGAGGAGTAATGAATAAAGAAGCCAAGACCATGCTGGAGAAACTAGCAGAAACAGTTGACCTGATCTAGTGAGTGCAAAAAGACCCTAGTCTTAAAGCTGGGGAACCAGCATTGAACCAAACCAAACCCTCTAAATGTGGGTGCCAGCTAGGAGACCTAGGAAGTCTATGGAACCTCTAACAGTGGAGGCAGTATTTATCCCTAGTGTGCAAATGGACTTTGGGTGCCTATTTCCTATGGAGGGATTCTATTGCAGCCCAGATACCTGAAAGAGGGCCTAGGCCCTCCCCCCTCAAATGATGTGACAGACTTTGATGGTCCCCTGTGGAAAGCCTCACTAACCTTGGGGAGTAGGTGGGGGGGTGAGTTTGGCAGGTCTGTGGGGGGCATGGGAGGATGAGAGGGTGAGAGAATAGGGGGATTGATATGTAAAATAAGATATATACATGCATGCATACCAGGTGCAGACTGCCTTCATCAACCTGGCTCAGATTTCAGGGGATCTAATGCCAGGCAATTCAATGTCAGCATATTTAACACACAGGACAATCTGAGAAAAGGTTTACAGGCAACAATCAATCCAATCCCAGGCACACAATAAAGCTTAAGATGTGATGTCATAGAAACTCTTTACAAAGTACATGTTACCATTAGAGTGGGTTCTGTAGCTAAAGGCCTAGAATCTGGTATGGCCTTTGACCAACAGTATAGAGGTCAGCAGGCCATAAAATACATGTGACATCTCCCTTAAGGATGCATAGTGGTCTAGGGAGGGCTAGCCTACAATCATCATTCTGGAGAATTGGGAGATGTCTGCCTGCAAAGATAACAAAGTTGTCACTAGGTTGTAAACAAGATCTTCTCTCAGTTCTCTGGATGGAATGTAGGCATTCGATTTTTATATCCTCCAGTGAGGAGACACCTTTCTGTGATTAGCATCATTGGTTCTCTTAGTGCTTCCTTATGAGAACAAGGACTTCTGTATCCCAACAAAATGGGGGAAAATAAAAATTAAAGGAAACATGTTTGCTCAGTAACAGGGCTGTATCTTTCATAAAAGGGTTGACAGTCTTCAGTCTTTTGCAATACATGGACTTTGTAATAGTTCTATCTTTTCCTCCTCCCTAGATCTCATATTACATTACTTTTTTCTGCATAGGAGACAATGTAGGACTGTATCAGCCCAGTTTTCATTATTATTAAAAATACCCAAGGCTAGAAAAATGCATAAATGAAAGAGCTTTATTTAGGTAAGAGTTATGGATGTTCAAAATGTGGTTTTGCCAGCTGCTTGGCAATGGTGAATGTCTCATGGAAAATGAAGCCAAATTTGAGCAGCACAGGTGGAAGTGAGACACCTCATTGCTAGTAAAGAAAGTACAGACTTGACTCAGACTAAGGTCAGGCTGTTATAAAAAGTCATAGTTCTAATAATCCCCACTAGAGTTAAGTTAATTTCTTCTGTGGACATCTTAGTGAGCTGAAATCCTGTAGATGACACCCTTTAAAGGTTCCACTATCTCAGACACCTGCATAGTAAGAACCAAGCTCCCAAAACATAAACTGGGGGCCTTACTAACTCAAGTCATAATATTTAAAACACAGCAACAGTCCATAGACTTTGACATATCACTGTATATCCCAGACTTCCTGTGACAGTTACACAGAGACAGGTTGTATATGGTGAACTATTGGCCCCAAATATTAAAAGTTGGCTGAGGAGGGGGAGTCAGTATTTTAGTACAAAGGAAGAACTAAGCACTTTATCTAGGAAAGCTCTAAAATATGTGTTGATGGAGAAAAACGTGTCAAAACTTCCTGTGTCTTTCATCATCCCCACAGGATGCTTTGAGTTGCCCAGAGTGCAAATCTCTGCTCAGCCATAATGTTAACCCAGTTTATTGGAGTAGACAATTTCTCCTGCTATAAATGCTATCCTAGGAACCATAAGTACATCAGAAGGAGCAGCAGGGGTGTTGAAGTATTTGCATAGTTCTCATAAAGAGGGGGACTTCTAATAAGAATGAGGTCTGAGCTTCTGTGGGACTTCCTTCTTCACGAAATATAGAATTTTAAAAACACTACCTGTTTAAGGACAGAGAAAGTTTCCCCTCCTAAAATTTATATCAATAACAACATATTCTGGAACTACAGAATATCACATTGCATATTATCTTGTCCTGTTAATTTATTTTTATTTATGCAACATAGTAATTAAGTTATTGATATAACTACTAATGTACTTAAACATTTGATCCATAATCTAAATCCATAAGGATTTAGAAATAGGCCCTTCCCCAAATAATGTGACAGACATTGTCTGGAGTGGATGGAATGGGAGGGTCGGTGAGGGGCATGGGATGTTTGGAGAGAGAGGGAACTGGCATTGATATGTGAAATAAGATTGATTCTAATTTAAATAAAGAAAAGAAATAGCAGGCAAATTCTGAAATAACTCAATTTTAACATTATATTTTAAATAGATACTTGAATAATTAAAATCATAGTTACTGGTTTATCACATAATGACTCAATTTCATAACATTAGTTTCATATTTTGTAACACAGCATATTCCTGTGTGCTTTCTTTGGTGTCATAAAGGACTTATTTTTCAGTAGGCTGTCACTTCTATTGACATTCTGAAAGTCATAGGAAATGATTTCATTTATAATCTTAGATCTATAAACTACCAAGATTACTGTTCAATAAAGTAAAATGGATCTGCATATATTTTCCAACTTCTAAATGAGTCACTCTATTTGGTTTACCTTTTAGGGCTTTCCAAATATCTCTGCAGAAAATTTTTAGGATAACAGTGATCAAGCGTGGCTAAGTGGCCCTCCAGAAACAGTGACACATTGCAAAACATGGCAAAGGGCCCCTGCCCACACCCATATCAAAACTTCCAGAACCTTGGAATCAAGTAAAATGCACAGTGTGCCATTCAAGAGTGAGAACTTTGGCTTCATGGTGGACACAGGGCCTTGTGAGCAGAAGAAGCCTTTAAGACAACCACTGCCTATGCAATTGTTACTCTGACAAGCCTGTGTGTGCCAGCCATTTCTACCCAACGGTTCATGTTTCCTCAGCTGCTTTCT